AGTGTCTAGAAGAACTGCTCAGGTGGAAGTGTCTAGAAGAATTGCTCTGGTGGAAGTGTCTAGAAGAACTGCTCAGGTGGCAGTGTCTAGAAGAGCTGCTTGGGTGGAAGTGTCTAGAAGAATTGCTCGGGTAGAAGTGTCTAGAATTGCTCTGGTGGCAGAGTCTAGAAGAATTGCTTGGGTGGAAGTGTCTAGAATTGCTTAGGTAGAAGTGTCTAGAATTGCTCTGGTGGCAGTGTCTAGAAGAATTGCTCAGGTAGAAGTGTCTAGAATTGCTCGGGTGGCAGTGTCTAGAAGAATCGCTCAGGTAGAAGTGTCTGGAATTGCTCAGTGGCAGTGTCTAGCAGCAATAGCTCCGGGAACAGAAGGGCTCGAGTGGACGGTGGTCCCAGCGTGTATCCTAGGCTATCATCTTTACAGATGTGGATCACTAGCTTTTCTCTCCATGGACCAGCAGTGGGTTTAAAAGGCCACTCCTCCAGGAGGCAGCTGAGCACTTCATCGCCGTGCCACCAGGAGTCCTTATTGGCTACAGCAGTAACTCACGTATGCTTACATTTTCCTCAGCAGCCCAGGCGCTTCTAAGGAAAAAGCTGTCACCTTTTTTTCCAGCACGCTGGGTGGCCCGGTGAAGACTCCTCATCCAGCACCCAAGCACCCAGCCTTGTGACAGGCGACACCAGCAGGACGGAGGGCAGCGTGCTGGCTGTGGTTGGCGCTAGGTGCCATCAAGTACATTCCGATTCTTAGCGACCTCGGCACAGCAGAAGGAAGCAGTGCCCGGCCCCGCACTGCCCTCACGGTGGCTGTGATGTGTGAGCCCGTGGTGGCGGCCACTGTGTCCGTCCCCCTTGTTGAGGGCCCTCCTCTTTTACACTGCCCCTCCACTTTACTGGTAGTGATGTCCTGTCTCAGAAGCTGTTCTCTCCTGAGAACAAGTCCGAAGTATGTCCATCCTCGCCTCCAAGGGACATTCCGACTGTGCTACTTTCATGAAGATTTGCTTGATCCATATTCCTCACCAGCACCATCACTCAAACGCGTCGATTTCCATTCGGTCTTCCTTATTCGATATCCAGCTTCCACATGCAGATGAAGCCATTGGAAAAAATCCCATGGTTTGGGGGCAGGTGTACCTAAGACATGGCCTAGTGACACATCAAGATCCCCTCTTTGTGCAGGTCTGAGAACGAGGCCCAAGTTCTCTCTCCTTATCAACTGAATGACATAAGTCAGCTCACTTGAACTCTCTGAGCCTCTCGCGATGCTGACGGCTAAATGACACAACGTGTATAAAATGCTTAGCATCTGATCAGACACGCAGTCCAGCCCCATTGACTCGAGGTGTGGTTTGAACCACCAGAGGACCAGTTAAGCGGATGCTCAGACAATGCCTCTTGAAGCAGGACACCTCTGTGAGTGCTCAATTTCTCGTCCTGTAGTTCCTGGTCAGAGCCCTGGGTCCCTCGTCGGACACCACAGGACATACTGCTGGCAGAGCCGATGCGGAGCTGCCAGAGGAAAAGAACCAGTGGAACAAGCTGGGATGAGGGACAACGTGGCTCCTTTCCTGTCCACAGCCGGCAAGATGCTCAAATGCTGGCATCCAACCCCCATCACCTTTCCGAACAAATGATCAACTGCTGATGATTCCCTTGACCCTGCTCTTCCCTGAGCAAAATGAGGATGGAAAGGGGCGTCGTCATGGAGCTTTGGTGTGCTGGGGGTGTGGGAGGGGGTGCACACACATAGCAAGGAGGCAGTGAGGGGTGAGGGCTCAGTTCTGAGCCCCCTCAAAGACCATAGCTGACATCGGGTCTCCTGGGCCGTGAAAGTCCTGTGTAGGCATCCACAACTCCCTGTCCTTGTCCCTTAAAGAAGGGACACCACCAGGAATGGAGCAAAGCCAAAGCCAAACTCACTGCCATCAAGTCAAAGTCGACTCATGGTGACCCTATAGGACAGGGCAGAGCTGCCCCTGTGGGTTTCCAAGACTATGAAGGTTCACGGGAGTAGAAAGCGCCATCTTTCTTGCATGGAGCAGCTGGTGGTTTCAAACTGCTGACCTTGAGGATCACAGCCCAATGTGTAACCACTATGCCACCAGGGTTCCTCCTGAATAGAACACTCTTCCCTAAACAGAAACACACTGACTCTATTTAATTATACAACCCAGATTCTTCGCTTTCTTCTCCTTCTGTTCCTCCTCCTCCTCATATGTGGTTTGGGTGGAAGTTTACAAATCAAGCCAGTTTTCTGTTCAGCAGTTTGTACACATTGTGCTTGTGGCATTCCTGCTGCTCCCCTCGGTGTAACAGCGCTCGCCCCACTTTCTCCATGGGCTCCCTGTTTCCAGCCATTCTTCCCTGCCCCTTCCTGCATTCTGAGCGCTGTGTTTGGGCGAATGTCATCCTTCTGGTCTTGTATGGTTGAAGGTTCTGAGCAGCACATTCCTTGAGGGAGTGATTCTGGTTTTGAGGGACCCTGATGGCTCAGTGGTCAAGCTTTTGGCTTCTCACCGAAAGGTTGGCATGAAAAACCCACCAGCAATCTGCTTCCATGAAGACTACAGTCTTAGGGACGCTACAGGGGCCCTGCTCTGTCTAAAAGGCTGTAGGCGTGGGCAGTGACTTGAGGACATCAGGTTTGGCTTTGTTGTCACTGCTGCAGCTTAGCTCCTTTTCATACAGTAATTCAAGATGTGACAACAACAAGTCAATAGAGCAGGTTGAGATCAGACGGAGTCACGGGAAGCTCCAGGTGAATGTTAGCAAGAGCAGATCCATTCAGCCTAACAACAATCAAGTCCAAACCACCATCTGCCAAAGGACAAAGAATGCAGAGGGGACACCTGGAACTGTGAATAAGGGCCAAGGACCGTCTTCCTTCTGGAGCCCTGGGCCTCTCGGGCAGTGAGAAGTGGCTTTGGAACCACAGGCTCAGCAACCAGCTGGTTGCATTTGGCAGGTTAACCAGATATTCTTTGTTAGCCAATTAACCGTGGGGGAGAGTCGTCTGACGAGGTGTCTGATCATTTCGAGATCCTGTCACTCATAGCATACTGTAGACCAGTCAGAGGTGATATCCTAAGATGGGGGGAGGATCCATTTGGGTCGCTGGACTGGGACTCAATGTCTGGCTCTGCTTCTTCCAACCAGCAGCTTCAGTCCTCTACACCTTACCCTGCATCTCTGACAATGGGGGTCATTGCATCATTAAGCCTGCTCCATAGGGGTGATGGGAGTATTGCATGATTGATATCCAGGCACGTGTCTGACCCACAGTAGCACGTGACCAACACCAGCTCTCCTCACCTTGCCCTCTCCAGCGTGTTGTGTTGGGTGGAGGGAACAATGTGAAGATCCAAGGTACGAATCTCTTTTTAAGGGTCCGCTGGACTCAGGCATTCCGTGACTCGAAGACAGTGTTCTTAAAGTGGACGATTACGCCCCTTGGATGATTCTGCTGGAATGACCCAGGAGAGCCACAAACGTAGATGTCTACACTTTATCTATACTTGATCCTGGATTGTGGGCTATAGTACAAATGTTTTAAATTGCAGAGGGACGCTGAGTACTTTTTTCTAGGATGGGGTTGTAGGCCCAAGAAGTATGTGACTGATGCTCTATGTCAAAGCTGCCGCGCAGCCTCTGTTTATTCTGCAGCTTGTGGGAGGGGCTGGAGTGGCGAAATCTCAGCCCTTCCGTGCCCGCTTTACACCTACGAAGACAGGGCTTACGATCATTCTGCATCTGGGACACTTTTGTGAATTTGCTTCTGGCACTAAGTGTGGTTCATCAAGGCTCCGTGCAGTCAACCATAGCTCCCCCAGTAGATCCATGGACACCACCCCCAAATCTATGAGAAGAGAGGACCTCAGGGAGGCCTAATAAGTTATTGTATCAGTGGAGACACAGGCTCAAAACAGTGGCATGCCATTTCCGAGCACAAGCATGTGGTAAGCGGTTGGTTTGAGAAGTTAATGTCTCCTCACTTGAATCTGGTGCAGGTCATGTCATTCACTCAACAATCTATCAGCTTCCAACTGAGCTCGTGGCATGTCTCAGAATATAATCAATACACCAGCCCAGGGCTCACACCAGCCCAGCACTCCCGTGGCCCTGAAAGTCTATCTCCATATGGCTAGTCTAATACAGTGGTTCTCAACTTCCCTAATGCCAAGACCCTTTAATACAGTTCCTCATGTCGTGGTGACCCCCTCAACCATAAAATTATTTTTGTTGCTACTTCATAACTGTCATTTTGCTACTGTTATGAATTGGGCAACCCCTGTGAAAGGGTCATTCGACCCCCAAAGGGGTCATGATCCACAGGTTGAGAACATCCACACTGCTTGACTCCTTTTCCTTCATTGAAACGTCCATGCGGTACATTACCCTGATGGATGGACAGAGGGAGAAAACCCAGGGAGCCTGGCAGTGCCCAGTGGCCCCTTCATCATACGTTGAGGAACTTCCCTCCCAGGTGCACACAGTCTTGTTGGCACTCACAGTCAGCAAGTGAGCTCATGGCACAAGCTGAACCAAGTTCCCTCCAATTTGAAGTTTAAATAAAATGACAGAACTCTTTAGAACAGACGGATGTTGTCCTTTTGTTCCTACAAAATACATTCCTGGGTTTGGCCCCATGCCCCCTTTCCTGAGACCTAGTCGGTCAGCTTTTGGTGCATGTGTGAAAAGAGACTGCCAACAAATTTATGTTCAGGGTTAATAGAATCTGTTTCTATTACTTGCACCCAGTGAGTCTTGGTCACCCTACTCCTCAGCCTAAGGGCATCATTGCTCCGCATGGTTGAGAAACCACCAACTACAGGTGCCTACACCCCAGTCGGGGCAGGCGACTTACCAGGCTTCTGATACCATCCAAAGGGGTAGGTGTGAACTTCGACGTCAGGAGCGTCACAATCGAAAATGCGCCAGGCTCCCCCATTCTCCTCACTGCACGCCTGAAGTCCCAGGCTATTCAGGGTCAGGCATGTCATCTCTCCTCCTGCAGCCAAAGGACGATGGACTGTGGTTATGAGCGGAGGGGCTGGTGAACGAGGGGCTCTGAAAATGCATTGCTCGGCAGACATTTGGGGTGCACCCGCTACAATGCAGGCGTGGACATGCCAATGAAAAGCACAGCACTCACACAAGGGAAGCTTCCCGTCTAAGGGCACAAGGATGGAGAAAACACTGCTGCTGCTGCTGCTGGGATGGAGGCGGAGCTGTGCTAGGGATGGCGCCATCGGGTCCTCACGCACCACCACGGGGCAAGGGATCACGGGACCCCTGCTTTCAGAGGAGGACGTGGACGCCCTGAGAGATGAAGGGGCAGCCTCAGCCCACGCCATCACCATGGGATGCGGCCCACACGTTGCTTTCAAGTAGATTCCAAGGCACGTTCTGTCCATTTGGACAGAGCCGCTAGATGCCCCACAGGGGTTCCAAGGCCTCCATCTTCACGGAACCAATGGTCTCATTCTCTCGCATGGAACAGTAGGTGGGTTTATACTGTGGGTCTTTCGGCTGGCAGCCAAGCACTTGACCACTGCACCCCCCATGGCTCATTATACAGGACCGAGACGAGCTTTAACAGTCGACCGGACAGATGGGTCCAAGCCGTCTGACTTGAATGGTATACACACTGAGCAGAAGGCGGCCAAGTCCCATGCAGAGGGAAGGCCATGGTGGCCAGGTAGAGCCGTGTGTGATGCTTAAAGAGCTATGGACCAGAAGCCATGGCCCGCTGATGGGTGATCAAACTTGCTGCCCTCCACCAACCCCTCCATGCCTCCCCCTCCAAGAAAGGGGGGTGCTGATGGTTACGCTGCGTCGCGGAGGTGTATGTGTCCCCCAGACTCTAATAAGTGCTGTCGACAGGGAGGGGAAGCTGCTACCTCGTAACTGGGAAACGTTGAGAAATCCGAAGCCGGTGCAGCAGGGGTCCAAGTCACACCTCCGCTCACACTCAAAGAACCTGGAGACAAGGAAGAGAGGCCCGGCGGGTCCAGAGGGTGTCCAGGACCCCACTGGGTGGTCTCAGCTACGCACATCCTTCCTTTCAAGTCCGGCTTTCTGTAGGACTTCCTAACTGGGAGGGGGGAAGGGAGGGTGCTTTGGTCAAGATCAATGGGTGGACCTCGTCACTCTGAGATGCTCTCTAAAATCCAAATTCTGCTCTTCTCCGGAGACTCCTGTCCACCATGGACATGCTCACCCAGCACGTGGCTGTGCCTGTGGTGGGCCAGGCTCATGCGGGATCCTGAACATGGACCGACAGTCCCTTCAGACCCGGAGAAAGCTCCAGCTGTGCTTCTGGCAGGGGAAGAAGCCGTGGAGAAGGGGCAGGCACCCACCAGGAAGGCGAGTCCGCAGTTAACCCTCGGCATGCCCTAGCAGAGGTCTCGCGGTGGTGTCTTCGGGCTTCCTCCCTCGACATCACCTTCCAGAGGCGTGTTTGCCGGTCAGCACACTTCCCGAAGCCACCTGGCCTATCAGCTTGGTGTGGCGACGGAACCAACCTGAAGCTTCTAAGAGCATTCTTTGCAGGAGGGTTTAAGTGGCTCCAAATCGGCGGTTCTCAACCTGCGGGTCACGACCCCTTTGGGGGTCGAACGACCCTTTCACAAGGGGTCGCCGGATTCATCACAGTAGCAAAATGACAGTGATGAAGTAGCAACGAAAATAACTTTATGGTTGGGGGTCACCACCACAGGAACTGCATGAAAGGATCGCGGCGTGAGGAAGGTTGAGAAGCACTACTCCAAACCAGTGTTCCTGGGCTCCATTCAAAGCGCTCCCTCTCCTGACCCCACACCCCCGCAGCTGATTGCTCATCCCTGGCTCCTGAAAACTCGTTCAACCTCTTAGGCCCTTTTTGATGTGGAGGCTGAGCCTCATTCTTGCGGTTCTCTTTCCAGAGCTGGGGGGCCCCTGAGCCCACACCACCTCCCATCTGCAGGGCAGCTTACCCATCAGAAATGGATTTTTCAGACATGGGGACTTTGCTTCTAATGGAAATTCCAGTCAGGCTTTGGAATGGCAGACGGGTGTAAAAGTTCTCCACTGTATCTTTCAGTCCAGCTGCACAGAGGGGGAACACAGGAGTTTACTTAGAGGGAGGTTTGTTGTCTCCGGAAAACCACAAGGACAAAGGAGAAATCACCGACCGATGGCACACTAACATGACGGGGTCACCCTCTGATCCCTCCCCCAGCCTCAATGAAATAACAGTAAGGGGTGGGGGTCCAAAGTCGGAGAGCCACCCAGGTGAAGAGGAAGGAGAAGAGGTGTGTAACACGGTTCTGAGAGCATGACCCAAGAAAGGGAAGTCCTCAAACTTTCTGTAGAAAGAACCACGAAGGAGCCCCGGAGATCCTGGGGAGTCCCAAAAGGCTCAGTATCTGCAGCATTGGGGTGCATATGGGCTATGAATGGGAGGATGGGCTCTCGGTAAGATTCTCTGCTCTGCTCCCCACACCTGCCAACTGACCTTTCCCCCCCAAAAAAAGAACAGGGGAGACAGTCTTCCCTGGAGGGAACAAAAGGGAGGGTCGATGAATTGGGGGTACCAGGCAGAGTCGATAGTGGGTGCCATATTGAAACTAGGGGCATTTTGAGTTGGTCCACAATCAGTATTTCTCAAAGTGGACCCAGCCCTGGGTGGCACTGGAATGAGCCAAGGGGTGCTGCAAAAACAGATAGCTATGCATTATCCTGGATGATGGGCTAGAGTACAAATGTTTTAATTTCCTGGGGAGCAGGGGTACGGAGTCTTTTTTTTTTTTTTTCTGAAAAGAGGGCCATAGGCCAAATAAGTCTAAGTACCTATGGTCTACAGCATGAATACTAAGATTCTCCCAGCCTTCCAACTTTATTGGATGGTCAAATCAGTAGCAACAAGGTCTGGTGTGGCAAGAGACGCATCTGGGGGAAGGACCCCAAACCACTAACAGCCACATCATCCTACAGGGAACTGTCACACCAGCAAGTCCTGTCACATGCTCAGAGTGTCACAGCCATCTCACTGGCTCCTCCCTTTGAATTTGTTGTGAAGCCAAAGGTCATTGGATCACTGGACAGATGAGGAAGAATCCCAACAACAACAACAAAAAAAGAATACAACAACAACAACAACAAAACAGCCCTGAGAAGGAATGGAGACCAGTGTGCAGGGTACAAAACATATAAAAAAGCATCAACAGCGTCCTCGAAGGAAAACATCAACCCAAGCTCATGAAAGCTGCTCTTGTTTGGATTCTCTGGAATATATGGTGCCAGATCAGTTCTAATCAGTAGGCGCATACACGTGTGTCGCTCTGAGAAGTGGGGCTGCAGGGCAGGATTCTTCATCATCGACTCGCATTTCTGAATTGCTTCGCATCTTCACAAGCCATATGCATGCGTTTGTGTTAGGAAGAAGAGGAAATTGATCCATGTATTCCTGAAGCCACAGAACCAGCAGCCCATGGGAAACCTAATTTGCACAATTCCAAGGAAGGACTCACCCTTCTTCCGGAATAGGGTCTCTGGCCTGTGGGACAGCATCACTCTGCAGCCTTTGGGGCTGGACTCCATGACATCATCACACACCTGGGCCTCTGGGTAGAGGGTGCAGGTGAAGTACAAGGGTGTGCTATCTGTTATCTCCGCCAGCTGACAGAAAGAAGGCTCCTGGACACAGCCTGTGGACAAGAAAGCATTTAGATTTCCATCATTAGGACATCTACAGCAGAGAGTGACTTCTACAAGATCCTCTTGGAAGAAGTACCCAGCCAAGAGTCCTCTAGGACAGCTGAGTCCCTCTGGTATGGAAGGCCCAAGAAAAATGGAGCTCTGCTAGTTGAGAAGGGCAGGCATGAAACAGAAAATCTATGTGACTTGGACTAAAGACAGAGCCCAAGGGACTTGTGGAATAAGCCTCAAACTCAGCAATCTCAGAGAAGGGAGGAGAGAATCTCATTGAATCTATGGCCATGACCATCGCCGGGGCCCTAAGGATCTACAGGGCAGAGCCCACTGGACTGTAAAAACCTTGTGGATGTTGTGAGTGATCTTCCCTCCCCCGAATTCCTATGTCAGTCTTTGGCACTGGTGTGTGAAGCTCCTTGAGGGTAGGGGTCATGTCTGATTCATTTTCAGTTTTGCTTTTTCATCTCAAGTCAAACATAAATCCTAGGACATAGCACATATTCGATGACTATTCAATGACTATGGATGCATGAATGCATGGATGCATGGATTAATAGGCATACAGATTGATGATAGAGAATAGATACATAGATCGTTGGGGTGGATAGATAAATGAGTACATGCATGGATGGATACATAAATATATGCAAAATGGATGGATGGATGGATGGATGGATATATGGGTGGATAACTGATGGAAAATGGGCCTGGCAGCAGAGTAGAGACCAGCTATATCATAAACTTCTTGAAGATCAAGGTTATGTCCCATATTTCTTCTGTATCAGCCGTAGTGCTAATACTAGAGCAATCCTGGAGTTGTGCCATTGGATGAGAGCCTATCTGCTTTTCCATCTGGGTTAAGGTGCGCCTGTGTGCCTGAACCCCGGCGCCTGGAGGAAGAAGGGTGTGGCGTGTGAACACTCACGAGAGAGGCACCACAGTCTTGCTTGCTCGGGTGAGAAGAGCTGTTTGAAGAGCCAGTGCTGCTGGCTGGGCAGGCGCCGGCTTCCATCCACAGTGATCTGGGCAAGGTCCACGGGGGAGAAAAGCTGTGCCGTCCCATCTGAACAAGAAGGACAAAGTCAACTGCCTGTACCTTTAGCGTCACGGTGGAGGGGTGTGTGTGTGTGGGGGGGAATGCTCTTGCGGGGGCCCCCTGCCTTATCTAAGTACTCAGCATAGCCGCAGAGACCTGGAGCAGATTGGGAAACTCCTCGCTATCCTTGGAATGAAGATCAGTCCTGGGAACACTGACCAGCACAGTGAGGTGAGTGGGCACAAGAAGAAGTTGCTGGACCTGACCGGGAGGGCAGCCCAGGGACTCCCACTGTGGGCCTACTCCCTATTCAGACCCCTGACTGGCACCTGCAATGTGACAAGCATCCCAGGAGGAGACAAGGAACGGGACAAAGTTTAATGGAATGGTGCCATGAGCAGACTCTGTGCTAGAAAGCTAATCACCACCCAGCTAATAATGGCTACCAAGTCCTGAGCCCTTACTCCCTACTGCTGCAGTCACTGTAGTAGCTCCTTGGTGTCTCATCAGTCCCCTACCACCTGGGCACTGCTAGAACGTTCATTAAGACAAGAAGCAGCAGAGGCTCAGAGTAGGTGAGCCACTCAGAGGCCCACAGGCTGATGGAGGCAGAGGTAAGGTAGGATTTGACTCCCATGCCCCTGACATGAGGGGCCACACGTGAAGCCAGCACACAATCCTGGAATTCCCCACCATCATGCTACCAATGCAGGAGGTAGTCCTGGTGGCTAAGCAGCTGGGTAGACCCCACTGCCGGTGGCTGGGACACATCATCTCATTAGAGCTTCCCCAGAACTTTGGAGCGGGGAGCACAACCACCATTTGGGGGTCAGCTGTGTCTGGTGCTGGGCGTGGCATGTCATCCACGGAGACAAGAGGAAGGCAAGAATAGCTTCACAAGAAACGGGAGAAATCAAGGCTCCACACAGGAAGGTGAATTACTCAGAGCCATGTGGTTCGTAGTGAGTCAGGACAGAAAGGCAGCGGCCGCAGCCCTGGTCTAACTATTCTGCAGTGGGTGTTGGCCCCATCGCACTGCCCCCCATTTTGTCCTGAAGCTGGAGCCTGGCCGTGGAGGAGCCTCCAGCTCCACTTTCCAGTCCCGTGGCTGGTGGACTCCTAGCTTCCAGGATGTGCAGTGACTCGGTCAGAGGCTCTCCTAGTTACCACATCCTTTAAGGAAGTCAGTGCAGATGGGTTCGATTGAGCACCCACTCTTCAAGGTCAACTCCAGGGGCTCATGGGCCACCGACCATCAGCAGAGCCTCGCCTTTTAAGAGCTGGGATGCGGCCATCAGCAGAGCCTCACTGGTGTGCAGGGTTGTGTTTTGCCGCTGTTGTTTGCTGTCTTCTATCTTACAGCCGGGGTTTGGATTCCAGCAGCAGTGGGGGGCGGGGGCGCAATGCTCACACCCCACTTTCTCTACCAGCCACTCAACTGAAGAGCGGCCATCCTTACAAAGGGGACAACCAGGGGAGAATCGTACAGGGGAATCCATACTGCAGAGCAGAAGGATGTGAATGGGTCGATTCCTTTAGTAACAGCCCCCTCCCCCTGCAGCATCTGTCCCCTCAGTCAGGTGCCCAGGGGCGGGAAGAGTCTTCGAAGGCAGTAAGTACCTGGCTCTGTTGGAGAGGCTTCCAGGTCTCTTCTGCAGCCCACAGCCTCAGCTCGAGATCCCATGTCAGAATCTGGACAAGAAAGGGGCAGGGTCATTCTAATGTGGGGTGGAGCCCACAAGGCACGTGTCTGGTCAGTAAAATGGTCCCAGCAAGGTGGGGAGATCTCGTGGACCACCTCCAGGTCACCATCTGAAGCAAATCCAGTGGGTCTGCGGACCTGGACCTTTGGTGGGAGGACATCAGTCAAACGCTTGCTATAAGAACGGTCACCATCTGTGATAGGGAAATTATTTACGTTGCAAAGCAGTAGAGGAAACACTATGTGCATGTAATTATAGGCCCTCAAACCCCCTGTGATCTGCATGTCTCTCTCGAGAAGGCTGAGAGGTGACATCATTCATCCCAAACCCTCAGGAGAGAAGTGACCAAACCAACAGCAATCGAGGCTTCAATTCCAGTGAAGTCGACCCCACATGTGGAAGAATTAGAATTAGGAAACACTAAAGCAAAGTATCCCACTAGGCCTTTGGTGAAAGCAGAATGAGCCCGTGGGAAGGGAAGAGGAGGAGATGGCGGGGACCGTGTCTGGCTTCCACCCAGCACTGCCTGTCCTCGGGCTTTGTCTCTACGGTGACAGAGGTCGCCTTATGTGTCTACCTACTTTAGGAATATGAATTAATAAAAAGAGATGTGGATCACTTCTTTGCACAATGTTAAAAAAATGGCGGCAGGCAATGCCTTCTGCCCTCTCTCCCTCGTCCTCCTCACAGCCACCACACGGAGGAGCAGTCACATGTTTCAGGGCATACCTGTTGATGCTCATACAGGCCTATGTGGAAATATTAATGCCCATCTTGTTCTATAGGCCGCACAGGTCCCACGAGACGCAACTATCATTGCTATCCAGCTCCACCAAGTCCACCCTCTGGGCTCTTTGTCGCTATTCCACGTTGGGGGAGTCAAATCCAGTGACCCAAACCCATCAGGAGGGTTTGCTGAAGCAGGAGGGACGTGATGAGGGAAATGGGGACGTTTCTGTGTGCTTCTAACCCAGCTCTTATCACCTGAGATTTAGCGTCCCATGCCCTCATCTGTCCCCTCATGTTGGGGTCTCTGGGAGATCAGGGTGGTGCCTTATGGTGTCTCTCTCCCAAATGCCTCTCCATCTCCTTGGCTCTGGGTCAGTGTTCAATAATCTCAAAGGAGGACAGCTAAGTAGAGAACCCACGGCCTTCAAGACAATTCCAACTCCTAGTGACTGTAGAGAACAGGGTAGAACTGCCCTAGTGGGTTTCCAGGGCTGAAAAGCATCAAAGAAGCAGACTGCCTTATCTTTATCCCACAGAGTGACAAGTGGCTGCCAGTCACCAACCTTTCCGTGCTCAACTACTGCACCACCAAGCTCCCGAAGGAGAGAAGATGTACCACCTGTGGCCTTTACCGGAGCCCCACTTTGCTTCAATCTGTTATGAGCCCAAGAAGCAGCCCATGGCAGCACCTACTTGGTGCCCTCTCCCAAACTAAGGAGAGAGACACATGGGCCAAGTGCCTTGGAAAAAGGCCTCTGATCACTGGCAACCATCTCAGAGCCCCATCTCAAAAGCCTGGGCAGCTTGTGGTCAAGGGACTTTATCCCCAAGGATTTGGTGGGCTCTTCCTGGTCCTTTTTTGGTTTTCCAGACTTCCCCTTTTCCTTTTCGACTTGACTAATTTATCTGGCAAGGAGTTGAGGCCTCTCTAGTTAAAACGAGTGCTCACTTGAGAAATTGAGCCCCGCACTTTTCTCTGGAGGGACCTGAGTAAACAAGACGGGGGTACAGACAATCGCATGGAATCTGTGGCCTGCCTCACACACCACCTCTACCACGGAGCTTACCTTTCCAGAGGTAAACCTGCTGGGTACTGGAAAAGGTGTCCTGAGTTCCATCCAGGGATGTCAGATCTATAAAAGTGGAAGGTTGCTCTTGTTAGGAGCTTGAGTGTATTTGCCCACGCTAGGCAGCTCCAGCTCCACCAATTGCCCCACTGCCCCCATGCTTGACCTCTGTCTCCTGGCCAAGGTGCATCTGCAGGAGGCTTTCTCTCAGTGCTCAGTGACAAAGCCTCAGCAGGTCAGCACATGTCCGCCAGTGTCTGTGTCAGGGCCCCAAGGGAGCATGAACAGCCACTTAACTTTTTTGAGAGCCTTGGCTCATGGGAAAACGGGTAGAGGACTTTTGAGGATGGGGATAAGGTGTATAACCCATCTAGTACAATCCACAACATTTGGTACCCAGCCAGCAACTGCTGGCTGCCATTATTTAATTATCAGTATAATTAAATATCCTGTGTTCCCCTGGCCAGAATCCTGGAAGAGTTTGGGTTGGCCACACCATTTGTTGGTAGTCAGGGCAGCTTCTTTTGCCTCCAGTCAGCTCTGAGTAATGATCCTTTCCCTCATCACCTAAGAGGATAAGAAGAGGGTTCAGAAAGCCCATCATCTGGGGGGGATACAAGCCTGGCTCTGCAGGAGAAAGCTGGCTGACAACTTGGGACATCAGGACATCAGATTCTGTTTTTAATTTTTATGGAGAGTCATTTATTATGTTACTACCCTTGATCCAACCCTATAATGGATACCTTTCATACATTATCGAATGTCAATCTTATAGCCATGCTAGAAATCCAAGTCCAGAGTGATTAAAGGCAGAATTCCAAGCCTACCAGTGTGATTCCATATCTCAGGCTTCTAGCCACCCACTAAGGAAAAGATCACATATTTCATAATTATGTCCCTTGAAAATGGTGAGAACGTTCTTATGTTTAGAGATGCTTGTGTTTAAAGAGGTGTACTCATCTATCTTGAAGAATCCGGTATCAAAATGATGACTCTACTTTATGCCATAGGGTGACCCCAAAACATGGGGCTGCACTTCCACCTTGGTTTTCCTTCTGAGATGAGAATAAACGATGATACTAGACCTCCTCAGGCTGTCCAATATTGTGATGTTTCCTTAAATAACTTTCCCATAGCCCTATCTAGGCGGTAGAGGAATGTACCAATAAGGAGATGAACATCAAGACTCTCTGAGAGGCCTAGGGCTCCAGTGTCTGAGAGCTGGGGCTTGTTCTACACACTACGGAGGAGACGCTGCCATAAGCTCTCCCACCCAACACAACGTAGAGCTGGGGCCAGCTGCTCAGTCAGTTTCATTTGCACTGTCCCCTCCTGACACCAACATTTACTTCTTATGAAGGTCAGGATACGCATCTCTGGACCTCTTCATGGAAGAAATCTGGAATGTATTTAAATGTGCTTATATCCAAACTCAGAAAATACCGTGGGCTGCTTAAAAGACAAACGAATCTGTATTAGAAGAAGTACGGCCAGAGTGCTCCTTAGAGGCAAGGATGGCGGGACTTCGTCTTCCAGACTTTGGACATGTGAATGGGAGAGGCCAGTCCCTGGAGAAGGATCTGATGATTGGTAAAGTGGAGGGAGAGCGAAAAAGAGGGAGGGGCTTAATTAGATGGACCGGCCCAGTGGCTGCAACATTGGGCCCCAGCATGTGAACCACCGTGAGGATGGTGCAGGACCGGGCAAGGTTTCCTTCTGTTGCGCACAGGGTCACTACACCTAACAACAAGAACATATGAAAACGTATCGGGTATGCAGGCACTTTCAAACAGTCACTGTATGTGTGCGTGTGTAAAACATATGTAGAGAGAGATTTTTGGTTAAACCCACTCAATCCCTCCAAGGGAGACAGACCTGAATCAGCTCCCATAAAGATCGTTCTAGTCTTAGGTCCCGTGGAGTTGGTCCCAATCATACGGACAGAACAAAACACTGCCCAAACCTGCACCATGCTCACAGTTGCTTCACTGTGAGTCCCTTGTTGTAGCCACTGTGTCAGTCCATCTCCTTCTCACTGACCTCTAATTTACGAAGCATCGTGTCCTTCTCTGGACTTCTCCCTTCTGTGGGAGTGATGTTTTGCATCAACTTGTCAGGTTCATGATTCTCAGTGGTTTGACAGTTAAGGCCTAGTCACCCTCCCTGATGTAACCTAGCACAATATAATTGACTCCATAACGGGATCTGCTGTTAACAGCCCATCCGTTGTAAAAAGAATAGGGTGGATCATCATACCCTTGCTCAGGGCACATCCCTGATGCAATTTAAGGGAATTCCCTCAGGAGTATGGCCGACTTTCTGTAGAAATAGATGCCGTGGAAAAGCTTGTTTACTGTTTGCTGGTACTGGATCCTGCATTTGGTACCCCCACCTCTGGAGCTCTGAACTCGAGTCAACAGCCTGCCATAGGGCCTGCTGATCCCAGGAGTCATCACTGGCCCGGGAGTCGTCTGGTCTGATGACCTGAGTTATTGGTCTCTCAAGTGCAAGACTAGTGGATGAGCTTGGGTTCATCCCCACGTGCACTGAATGCACTCCAACTGAACTTGCTGTGTCTCCAACTGTGTGAAACCTTTTCTTGATGAATACATATATTCGATGATTTTGCTTCTATAGAGAACCCAGCCTAGCACACATGTTCAAAGAACATGAGACAGTCTCGTCATCCTTGCTTCCCAGGAGCATTCTGGCTGAACTTCTTTCAAGGTGGATCTGTTTGGTCTTCTGGCAGCCGTGGTACTTACCATGTTCCTTCAACTCAAGGGCATCCATTCTCTGGTCTTCTCTAGTCATTGCCCGGCTTTTGCAAGCATGTGAGGCAATTACATTACCATGGATTGAGTCAGGAACACCTGAGTCCTTGAAGTGCCATCCTTGCTCTTCAACCCTTTGAAGAGGTCTTGTGCAGCAGCTGTGCCCAATGCAATACACTATTTGCCTTCTTGACTGCTGCTTCCATGAACACCTGTGATGGACCTATGTAAAATGGCATCCTTTACAACCGAATCTCTTCTGTTTATCATGATGCTCTTTTCTATTGGTCCAGTCACGAGGGTTTTTATTTTCTTCACAAGTTGTAATCCTGACTGAAGTATGTGATCGTCATCAACAAGTGCCTCAATTACTTTACTTTCAGCAAGTAAGGTTGTATCATCTACATATCACAGGTTGTTAAAGAGCCTACCTCCAATTCTGATGCTCCATTCTTATTTATATAGTCTAGCTTCTTGCATCATTTGCTCAGAGGATATATTGGGTAAGTCTAATAAAAGGATCTCACCCTGATGCACACCTTTACTGGTTTTAAACCATGCAGGATCCCTTTGTTCTGATTCAATGACTGCCTCTCAGTCTATATAAAGGTTCTATGTGAGCACGATCAAATGTTCTGGATTCCCCATTTTTCTCAATGTTATCCTAGTTTGTTATGATCCACATCAACACCTTTGCATAGTCAATAAAACACAATCATCTTTCTGGTATTCTCTACTTTCAGCCAAGATCCAGCTGACATCAGCAATGACATCTCTCCCCTCATAGCTTCCTCTAAATCTGGCCTGAATTTCTGGCAGCTTCTTGTTAATGTAAGGCTACAAGCATTGTTGAACTATGTTCAGCAAAATTTTACTACCATGTAATGTTAGTGATATTGTTCAATGGCTTCCACATTCTGTTGGGTCACTTTTCTGTGGGATGCCACAGAAGTGGATCTCTTCCAGTTGGTTGGCCAAGAGTTGTCGACCACATTTCTTGGAATACACAAGTGCATAACTGTACCCCTAAGGCAGTTTGATGAAACATTCTAATGGAATCCCGTAAATACCTGGAGCCTCTTTTTTTTTTTTCCGGCTAATGCCTTAAAGCAGCTTTCTTTCTTCAATACCTTCCTTCACTACCTTGATCACATGCTACCTCTTGAAAAGGTGCAAAGTAGACCAACTCTTTTCGGTGCAGTGATGGTGTGTTCCTTCCTTTTCTCTCTTTTAAAATGCCTCTTGTATCACTAAGCGTTTTGCCCAAGAATTGAACTTTTTCTTCATTTCTTTCTTCCTGAGATATGCTGAACAAATTCTTCTCTTTCAGTTTTCTAACTCCAAGTCTTTGTGCATGTTCCTATAAGGTTTTACTTTGTCTTCTCCAGTTACCTTTGAAATTCTTCTGTTCAATTCTTTTACCTCCACATTTCTTCCATTTGCTTGAACGTCGCTCTGCTCTGCTTTCAAGGGCAGTTGCTGTTGTTAATTGCCATTGGGTCAGTTTGGACTCATAGCAACAGAACCAAACACTGCCAGTCCCACGCCCTCCTCATAATCATCATTCCGCTTGAGCTCATTGTCGCAGCCTTTGTATCAATACATTCCATTGGGGGTCTCCCTCGTGTTTTCTGTCCCTCTACTTAGCGAAGCATGATGTCCTCCTCTAGAGATTGATCCCTCCAGATCACCAATACAAGGCACATGATAGCATGCCCAAAGTACAAAATAACTCAATGGGTCACTGAAAAATGGACCATCCATTTTTGATAAGAGCTTTTTCGATTAAAAAAATGTGAAGAGCTTATCATTTTGATAAAAATGATAAAGAGGTCTTGACACACAGCATCCAGGACAGAAAAGTCCCTCAGGACCCATAATGAAAGTAGCGATACTATGAGGGTAGAGGGCAGGTAGGGAGAGAAGGTAGAGAAAGGGGAAACCAACTGTAGTGATCAACGAATGTACAACACACACACACACACACACACCTAGGGGGACAAACAACAGAAACGTGGATGAAGGGAGACAACGAATGATGTAAAATATGAAAATAAAAAAATTATAAATTATCAAGGGTTCATGAAGATAGGTGGGTGGGGGGGGTGGTGGGACAGGAGATGATACCAAGGGCTCAAGTAGAAAGAAAATGTTTTATAAATAATAATGGCAACATACGTACAAATGTGCGTGATACAATGGATGTATGGATTGTTATAAGAGCTGTAAGAGCCTCCAATAAAATCATTTATTAAAATTAAACCAAAAAGAAAGAAAGAAAGAAAAATGGACCATCCTATTTTGGATACTCTCAGGCACCCAATTCCAGATAAACCTAGCTAGTGAGCTCATGGATGCCATGCAAGGTTCCCTACCTGGCTCCCAGCATCCAGAGACAACGCCAATCACTGGCACCAAACACAGGAACGCCTGGCACCTGTGGGGCGCTCAGTTGCTCAACAAATTAAAGCCTTTGGGGGATTCAGAATGAACGGCAGAGTATCTCTGCCACCACTTTTCCCATCAAAGTTCAAGCCCTGAGGCTGTCAGAGGACATTTAATCCTGCTCGGTCTTCTTCATTTGCACTTCAAGGCGCTGTCCGCAGTGAACACCATGCAGCCCCCACACGCCCTCCGCCCTCTTTCTCAGAGCCAGGAGGGTTGGCCCAGCCAACCCAAATGGTGTGGAACGTCCAGGGGCCCTTTGGAAATTCAGGAAACACAAATCTCAAGAGGACTTCTGTACCCGGCAGCCCCGAACAACCCACCACCAGAAACCTGGTATTCTCAGGCCTCCCTCATCCCTGGTGACAGGAAGGCCAAAGGTTGCTTTCCTTCGGCGTTTCGAAAACCATGGCTCCTTCAGGTAAGATAGAATGAGCTCCAGCTTCTTTGAGAGGCTGGTGCGCCCCCAGGAGTAGCCGCGCTGGCCAACAAGAGCAGACCTCTGGGTCCAGCTCTCCTACTGAGCATCTATCTCTCTTGGGTGCAGAGTTGAGGAGTGAGAGGCTAGGGGGTTCGGAAATTAAGGTCTGTGGAGCATGTTAACAACACTTGATTCGGTAATATACAGGCATGTGCCCCGTTTTACAGATGGACACACTGTCTTAAGGTAATTAAATGCCTTCAACAAGATCATAAAGCTGGAGCTAGAAGCAGGATTCCTGTGTAGGTATTTAAAGCGCAAACCCCCATTCCATCACCTCTCATGTCTACTGAGTCCCTGTGTATCGCGGGCGGCATTCCCAGCTCCCCAGACACATGCTCTCTGAATGCCATCCCAACCTCCATCGGAGGCAGAAGTCAACGTCATTCTCATTTGATAATCCAGGAGACTGATGAGTCAGCATTCACCTGGAGAGTTTGAACATTTGGGATCTGATTCGAGAGTCTATATTGTAGTAAAGGCTAACAGAAACGCGAGTGAGGACAGACAGCGGATGGTGTAAAACATGAACATAGAAATAACAAAGTATCAAGGGTTCATAAGGGTGGGAAGGTGGGGGAGGGAGGGGGTAAAAAGAGGAACTGATACCAAGGGCTCATGTAGAAAGAAAGTGTTTTGGAAATGATGATGGCAACATATGTACAAATGTGTTTGATTCAATTGATGTATGGATTGTTATAAGAGCTGTAAGAGCCCCCAATAAAATGATTTATTAAAAAAATGTTTTTAAAAGACTACCATCTAGACTAGTGGTTCTCAACCTTCCTAATGCTGCGACCCTTTAATACAGTTCCTCAAGTTGTGGTGACCCCCCCAAACCATAACATTATTTTCATTGCTACATCATCACTGTAATTTTGCTACTGTTCTGAATCAGGCGCGCCCTGTGCAAGGGCGGTTCCACCCCCAAAGGGGTTGCGAGCCACAGGTTGAGAACCGCTGATCTAGACAATCAAGGAGTGTGGTCCTCAGCCAATTGGCGAGGGCAGAGTATGTCTTTATTGTTTGTCGCCCCTTTCCAAACTCCTCGTCTATTGTTCTGGGCCTGGAACCCTTACTCCTCTTGGCTCCTTCAGTACCTGCTCTGGGATAAGGGTAGCTAACAGCTAGTCCCACTTCAGTATGAACTCAAAAGACTGTTATTCTCCCAAAGGTTCATTGTACTTAAAGCCTAGTCTCATAGAAAGGCGGGTCCGATGCCCTGTGGTGCCCCACTGGAGGGGGCTTCTTGATCACTCTGTGTCTACGGCACCCTCCATGGAGAACATCACGAGCAGACCTCACAGCCAGATCCCACTGCCCATGGGGTCCATTCCGAGGCACGGCGACCCCACGGGACAGAGGAAGACTGGCCCCCACAGGGTTGCCAAGGTTGTACAGAAGATACGGCCACATCTTTCTTTCTGCGGAGCAGCGGGTGGATTGGACTACTGACCTCGTGGTTAGAGACGATGCGCTTTCACTGCTGTGCCACTAGGACCCCTGAAAAGACCACTGTCGACCCAAAATCTCCATCATGGAGGGCTCCTCTCATAGCTTTTCCTTCACCCTCACACACTCTCACACTCACTCTCACACTCACACACACTACTGAGAAACAACAACCCTTTAGGGGTCCTTCTCACTCCTTCTAGGGAGGTGGACAAGGGCACTTTCTTACTTCTTGGGCTCAGATCAAGCACATGCCTTGTGTCAAGCAGCTCACTCTGGATTTATTGCCCATGAATGCATCTAACATCCTTCTTGAAAAGTCTTGTTGTAATGAACACCACATGTTTAGTACCCATGATCTAAATAAGCTATTTGATTTTATTTACCCCAAATGATCTTCACTTAAGCCCCATGGAATGCCATAGAATTCTGCAATGCTTTTTGTTCCACACTTTGAGAAATATCGGATTCAGCAGATATTATTTATAGTCTCTTGTCTGGGCTTTATCCTGACCATTGTGAGTCCAGAAATTACTAAGACATAGTCCAGTCCTGAAGGTATCAGCAATAATAAGACAAAAATATTTTTTAAATAACGATAACAACGACATCACCTAATATTACTACTATGGGTATTGTCTCTGAGTGTCAGTATGTGGGGGGAGTGTCAGGAACACCCACTTGGGAGCATAGTCTGTCTCATAGATCCCAGCCCCTCTGCCTGCGAGGTCTGAGACCTGGGTGAGTTGCATAACTTCCCTTGTCCGGGGCTCCCAAACGATAATGATAACAATAGGTCCTGCCTGAAAGCATTGTCTTGAGAGTGAATGAGGTCTTGGAAGTCAAGCCTTAGAGCAATGCCTGGCCCAGGAAACACCACCCAAGACAATGTACGTTGCTGTTGTTATTGTCATCTTCATTAATCTTCACAAATACCTGGGGTTGGGCACTGTCACCACCCGCACTGATAGTTGAGCAACTAGCCCTGGAGAGATCTGACTGCTTTCTCAGGATCACACAGTAGGTGTCCATAGCTGGGGTCCGGCTGAAGGGCAAGCATGCACTGGGGTATTTTGTCGGGGCGATGGGCGTCCCACTAGCCCAAGCTCTGCACCTTTCCTTGGGCCTCACTTTGCCATGAGGCCTTGCAATTCCTCCCACTGCAGGGACAGAGTGCAAGGCCCCACCCTTTGACTTATCAGGCCAGGTGCCAGCAGTCCACGTTCAAGGCTGGACCTTTCCTGGCTTGGTTTTACTTGTTCTCTTTTGATTCTGCCATCTCCATGCCCAAGGGAACAAAGTGTCAATGAGTCCTTCCCATCCCCTTGAGCAGCCCCGTTAAGGATCTGGCCAAGTGCTAAGGGCTCTCATTAGCTGGATTTTCTTCGCTGTCTGACTGGGTCTAGATTTTCTTCGCTGTCTGACAGCTGTTGAACATCACAGGATGAGCCATGCCTCCATGAATATCCAGAGGAGGATGAGAAGCCCAGATGGGAGAACCAGGCCAGCCCAGTCAGATGCTGGCCAGATTAGCCAACTGCCAGCCAACCCCCAGATGTGAGAGTGAGTCCTGCTGAGGTCAGCGCAGCTGCCCACCAAGCCAGCCTCCCTCCAGCCAACCTGCAGCCGCGAGCTCAATCAGTGCTCGTGCTGAACACAGGTGGGATGCTGTGGGTGTTCCATATGCGATGTCAGCAGCACAGTATGAGTCCCTCAGGGTGTGGTGAGGGCTCAGAAGAGAGCAGGGTGCCCTGTCCAAGAAGAACCACGGGCTGAAAGCAGAGACTTACTCGTGATGAACTCCTGGCCTCCAAGACGCAATGTCACTTGGCGGCTCCCCTGGTCGTAGGTGACACCGGGGCACGAAATATTCATCCCCTGGGCTTCGGAGGCCCCGCTCCAGTCTTGGACATTGCAGAGCAGGGTGCTGGGGGAGCTGAGCAGCCCGCAGATGATGGGGCCTGCAGCGGAGCAGGGAGAAGAGAAGTCATTGCAATGGGGGCAAGTGGAACCCCTTTGGAGACTCACCTGTGGGCCCCTTAGGATGGGGATAGGTGACGACACTCAGGGGGTGCACAGGGATGGGATGAGTTAGGAGCCTAGGTTCCAGTGGGTCACTCTTCCTCGATTGGCCTGCAAGGAGAGCCACCACCAGGGGGTCAGCATCGAGGGCAGTCCCCTGCTCATCCCAGTGGGGAAGAGGCTGCCAGGACCCTCTGGTCCCCACCAACTGGCAAAGCGATAGCGTTGAAAGTTCAGGAGAATTAGGAGATCCGAAAAAGTGGGGTTTCTGCCTGCAGATAAAGAGCGAGCGGGGAGTGGTTTGACAATTCTCAGACTGAGCCGTGGAGCAAGAGGGCCCTGGACCAGTGCGAGGTGGCTGTCCAGCTCAGCCTAACCCCACAGACCACAGGCTATCCTTGGAAGTAAACGACCTTCGAGGAAGCACTCCGAGGATGCTGAGGGCCACTGGCTGCCCTCGCAAGCAAAACTCGCCCAAAGAAGTTGAATCCAACGGGCAGAGTGTATCTTTCCCCATGCTCAGTCCTTTGACAAGAATCCGTGGTATTTTTCTTTTCCTTAACGAATGCCGAAGGCCCTGGGTGGTGCCATGGTTGGCATGGTTGGGTTAGCAGGGTCAATTCCACCCAGGTGTACCATGGTAGAAAGGCCTGGCGATCTACTCCCAAAGCATTACAGCAGGGTTGCTTGAATCAGTGCTGACCTGGCAACTGGTTCTTTCCCAAGTCTCAGTGGGGCCTCTGGGGGATGGGTGAAGGGGCGTGGGCAGTGAGAGAAGCCCCTTTTCTTAACACACCACCACTGGGGTCCACTACACTCCAGGGAACCCCGACCCAGCCAGTCCCCCGGACCTCACAACTATTTCTGTGATCCATCGGTGGAAAGCAAGCTGGCGAGCAGATGGGGTTGCAGGAGTCTGGAGATTGCTGTCAGCTAGGAAAACCATCGCACGCATACAGTAGAAAGCCAAATGCCTTCCTGCTAGGAGAGCAAGCTGCAGCGGGAAGGGCTGTCGGCAGCCCCAGCCCTTGTCTGAGCTAGCCCTCCAGATGTGCCCAGCAGACAGGATGGGGAAACATCTGCCTGACACTGTCCATCCCAGAGACAGCTCAACGCTCAGCTCACAGCTTGCAGCACCACTCACTGCCAAGACTCGGCCATGCTTGTGGGGCAGGGTAGGCGACAGAAAGAGGGATCCTGTGGGCTCACTGCCCTGGGATAAAGTCATTCTTCCACACAGGAGCCTAAGGAAAATGAAAGCAGTCTTTCCACACGTGAAAAGGCATGTGGTCTGGCCGTTAGCAGGGCATCTGGAAATTGAGGTCCTCAGCAAAGAGAAGCCAAGAAGGCATCACATCGTGGGTTTGAATTACAGAGCTTCTAAATATAGGGCACACAGAGATGGGAGAGGGGCGTGTGTGTGTGTGTGTGTGTGTGTGTGTGTGTGTGTGTGTGCATGCATGCACAGGCACACACTTCTCTAAACATTAATGTGAACCTGGATCTCAGACTCGTAAAGAATTAAACCGATGAGGACATTCAGGGGCCACTTTGCTGCGGCCCAGCTTCCTGCTCCCCCCTGCCACGGAAGCCTCCCCACCGGGACGGCCCCTACTAACGGCTGTGAAAACTGGACAGAGAATCAGGAAGGCGGGAGAAGGAGCGGCGTGTCTGAATCGTGCAGCTGCAGGGAGCACGGAGAGTCCCACGCCTGCCCAAAGAACAAGCAGATCAGTCCTGGGAGGAGTGCGGCCAGAGCGCTCCTGGGAGGCAGGGATGCTGGGACTTTGCCACCTCGAGTCGGACACGTTGTCAGGAGAGACCAGTCCCTGGAGAAGGACATCCCGCTTGGTAAAGCAGAGGGGGCGGCGAAGGAGAGGAAGACCCTGGCAGGACGACTGGCACACTGGCCGCCGCCAGGGGCTCAGACAGCTGTGAGGAGGGCGCAGAACGGGGCGGGGGTTAGTTCCGTTGTACAGTGAACCCTCGCCACTTCGCGCTTCGACTTCCGCGGCTTCACTCTATTGCGGTTTTTGCGTAACAGTGCATGCTCTGTCATTACTGCCACTGATTGGCTCATACTGTACACGCTTGATGCCATAAATAATATAATAAATAATAAATGATAATTGTAACGTCCAAAATGTTTTACTGTATTTTCCCTTTTTCGTTTAATAAATCGGGTAATACGAGTGTAATGGTGACTAAAGGGTGTTTTTTCATGTCCTCTATGCTCTAACTATGAAAATATTTGATTTACAAATAAGGAATCCTACTTCGCGGAATTTCATTTATCACAGTAGGGTCTAGAACCGATGAACCGCGATCAACGAGGGTTCACTGTATACCGGGTGGCTATGGCTGAGGACGGCTGACAGCACCTAGCCACAGGTCACGGACGCTGCAAACTCCCCTGGTGACAATGGCCTTCAAGTGCCAACCTGTCCTCGCCCACGCCCGCCTGCGGCTCAGGAAGCACTGCCCTGGGCCGCGTTCACCCTCTCTGCTACTCATTCTTTCTCTCCTTGGCGGAGCCTCTACCTGCTATGCAAGTATCCCTCGTGGTCCAGCCCACCCCCTTTCTTTTTTCCCCACTCCCTACCTGCTTTCTCGGGACTCCTAGCGGTAAGCCCACCTGCTGATACCAGTTCGGCACTGATAACCCACTGATGATCCCCATGGACACACCACTCTCAGCTCTGGCTCGTTGTCTCCGAAGCTTAGCCGGCATCGGTGGGTGTGCTCATGGCACTCCAATCTTAACACACCGCGAACCAGCCCCGGGCTCGTCTCTCTCCTCACCACAGCAGACAGCCTGATCTCTTCCATCGCTCTCCAAGCCTGTAAACCAGCCAACTCGGCGTGCTAGCTGGACTCGAGAATGGTTTTAGAAACCGTCCTCTTCTCTTCCTTGAGCCTACTGACTGCCTCAGAAAGATACCTCAACTGGTCCTTTTTATCCATCTCTGCAGCTACCACCCGGCCGGAACCAGCACCGTCTGCTCCTGGACAGTTGTGGGCCCTGAGCAGCCAGCCAGACCCTGCTCCACGCCCAAGCCAAAACTCATATCCCTTTGCTGAAACCTTCAGTGTCTTCCAGTTGCTCTTAGAAGAGACACAAACTGTTCAGGGCATCCCACAAGATTCTGCCTGGCAGCTTCTCTGCTCTCTCATCTCACCCACCACCTGCTCAAACCAAAACTCAGAGCCTCAGCCACGTCTCACATCAAGACCCCACCTTGTTCTCCCTGCTCTGAGGACACGAACTTCCTCACCACTCCCAGGCCCTAGCTGCACCACCAGCCCTGCCACTGGGCCTTTACACATGCTGTTCCTTCTTTGGGGACACACGCCCCGCTTCTCCTTCCATCTAGATTTTGCCTGTAGGAAGGGAGGGGTTGGCCTCTAACTTTGAGATTGCAAATACCACTGTCTTCTTCACCTCGAGCCAGAGATTTCCTCTATTGCCCTCCATTTCAAATCAGCTTTGGTCCTGACAAGCCCCTGCTCCCCATCAGCCCTGAAGTCCAGGTCCCGGAGGGCCCTCAGCACCAGCCTTACCTCCCTGGACCTGCGTGAGGATGAACCCATCGCAGCACGGGTCCTGGTCACAGGCAAGGAGGCAGAAGAGACGCACGTCAGTCACGTTGGCCCCTGGGGTGGAGAACACAGAGGGGCGGTACAGTCCGGAGAGCGCGTTTTGGAAGTCCGTTCGCTCAAAGCCTTTGTGACGCATGGTGGTGAGCGGTTGGCCTGGGGAGAAGGCAGGAACACCTTTTGTAAGAAGACGTTTCCGATGATCAGAACAAAAAATCTTACCATAGTGAATGATGAGGGGAGTGCGGAGTGGAGATCCAAAGCCCATTAGTAGGCCACTGGAGATCCCCTTGCAGAGGGGGTCCCGGGGAGGAGATGAGCCAGTCAGGGCACGATGTAACAATGATGAGAAATACAACTTTCCTCTAGTTCCTAAATGTTTCCTCCCCGCTCCCACTACCATGACTCGAATTCCATCTTGCAAGTCTGGCTAGACCAGAGGAGGTACACTGGTACAGATAGGAACTGAAAATACAGGGAATCCAGGACGGATGAGCCCTATAGGACCAGTGGTGTGAGTGGCAAAACAGGGAGGGTAAAGGGAGAATGGGTAGGAAAGAGGGAACCGATTACATGGAACTGTGTGTGACCTCCTCCCTGGGGGACAGACAACCAAAAAGTGGATGAAGGGAGACGTCGGACAGGGCAAGATATGACAAAATACCCATTTATAAACTATCAAGGGCTCATGCGGGAGGGGGGAGCGGGAAGGGAGGGGAAAAATGAGGACCTAATGTGGGGGGTTTAAATGGAGAGAAAATGTTTTGAGAAACGATGCACAAATGCACTTTACACAATTGATGTGTGTATGGATTGGGATAACAGTTGTATGAGCCCCTAATAAAATGTTTTTAAAAATATACAAAAAATAAATAAATAAATAAATATAAATAAATTAAAAAAAAGAAACCCAGGATTGATGAACCTATAGAGATGGCAAGTGGAATAAAGATTTCAGAGAGGATGGAGTTCAATGTTGGAAAGGAGTTGAAGAGAAGACAAAGCCAAGGAGTCCATGTAGAAAAAGAATGTTTGGGAACTGATTGTGGTAGCAATTGTACAATTCTGCTTCATGTGATTGAACTATGGAATGAGATGATATGTATATTAATAAAAAATATCAGCCGCTGAAAAAAAAAAAAGAAGAAGACGTTTCCAAGCAGTGGAAGGAGTGGGGGTGGCCTGCCTTCTGGGTTAGGGGCAGTGGTGGTCTCAGACGAGACAAAGCCAGAGCCACGCACGTCTCTGTGTACCGGAAGGGGGACAAGGCAGCCCAGGCCCCAGCCTAGAGCACGCAGACCTGGGCAGGCGCCCACCGCCGCTTGGAGGGGCGAAAGGGAGGTGTGCAGAGTGGGACTGTCTCTCTCCTCATTGTTACCAGCACGTACTTATTGAGCTCAATAGGAGTGTAACCCTGTGCACATAGATGGGAGCAGTGGGTCAGTGGTAGAATTCTTGCTCCCATGGGGGAGACCTGGGTTCGACTCCCAGCAAGCCCCCCATGGATAATCAGTGGAACTGTGCCTGTCGAAGCTGCTGAACAGGCTTCAGCAGTTTCCACACTAAGTGTGACTAGGGAGAAAGGGCTGGAGATCCACCTGTGAAGATTAGTCAGTGATAGAAAGGAAACTGAGGTTCAGGGCCAGGAGTGGGGTGTAGGGCAGCCTGGCTCCCGGAATGCCTCCTGCTGGTGCCCAGGCCCGCCCAGCAAGACCCACGCACCTTGTTTCAAATACACGGCCAGGGAGTCTGGGTCCTGGCGCCTCACGGTCACCTGGCACCTGAGACCTCGGAAGCTGGTGGCCATGGCATTCCCCAATGCAGGTTCTTCCTGGAGGCAGAAAGGGGCTGAATTAACCGCTGATGGTGTTCAGACTCCCGCCTGGGCCCAGGCACTGAGCTACTAAGAGGGACAAGAGAGATCTCTGCCCACCGGTGTCTCCCCTGTCCTGGAGCCGAGGGTTCCTGAGTGTTAGCTGCCCCCACTGCTGTGGACTCCACGCCAATGCACAGCGACCCCACAAGGCAGAGTAGAGGGCCTCCATGGGCCTCCAAGACTGCACAGAATACAGTGGCTGCTTTCCCTCACAGGGGGCTGAGTTTGATCTACCAGCTTTGCGGCTTAACCCAGGCAGCACCAGGGATCCTGGCCAACTGCAAGATGCTTGCAATTCCAGAGGGGAGGAGGCGATCCGTTCTACAGAGCTGGGGAGCCTTAGTCTAACAGCTATCAGCAGTGCACCTGGAGGAAGCGCTGATGTGTGGGTAAGACAGGAGAAGGAGTGGCGTGCAGGGAGAGGGGACAGCAGCTGAGCAGACATGGGGACCCACGGTGTTTTGAAGAAATGGGAGGGAACGTGGAGTTGCCCACTGATCAGTGCTCATCTCTAGGCCTGAATCAAAGGAATCAGAGTGCATCTGACTGAGAACAGACAAGACAGACCCGCGCTCGTCCGCCCAGCTGACCTGCCCAGAGGTGGTGCAGACGATGCTATCATCTGTCCCAGCATAGAATTCACATGTGACGTCGGGTCCCCCCATCGACACTGTGAGGAAGCTGCAGGCGGGGTCCTCTTCACAATCTGTAGGGACCGTGGGGACGGTCAGTCACCCGGGTCTCTGCACCCATGCTGGGGACAGTGCGGGTGCAGGCCCACCCTCACCCTCCACACACACACAGAGGAAACACAAAGTGTGTACTATGCCACACACATACACACACACAGGAGCTATTGAATAAGTGTGTACCATGTACACACAGATACACACACACACACAAGGAGATACTGACCAAGTGTGAACCATGTCCACACACATACACACACAGAGGAGCTATTGAATAAGTGTGTACCATGTACAGAGATACACACAGAAGATATTGATTAAGTATGTGCCATGCACACACAGGAGAGATTGACTAGATTTACACTACACACACACACACACACAGAGGAAATACTGCCTAAGCACACACCGTGTGCCCCTGCTCTGGGTCCGTGTGTCCTCATCACTGACTCCTCCATTTCTAGAGTGCTACAGCCTTCTCTCAAGGGATGGCTGATGGGTTCAAACGCCCGACCTTTTGGTTAGCATCTAAGTGCTTATAACGACCGTGCCACCAGCGGCCCCTCTCACATCTGCAACGGCTCTAGATTCTCACCTCTTGCAAGTGCCTTCTACCTAAAATGCTGAATGTGTCAAACTCCACTGGGTCCACAAATACTCCCCATCCAAGATCACCTTGATCTCTCTCCCTGATCAGAAACCACCCATCCGGCCTCCCTGATGGAGCCGCCTTGCTCAGACTGTCTTCTCACCAGTGCTGGGGTGCTGAGTTCAACCATCATGTCCTGTCCCCCCTGCTCGCCTCGATCTCTATGAATCTGCATCCTCTTATCCTGGCCAACCCATTGGTGTCACATCACAGCCAAGCATGTGTATAGCTCTGTGGGCGTGTGTATCGGATTCTTCGCCAAGACACATAACTGCCATCGCCCTCAATCAAGATGCTGCTGAATCTTCAAGAGTTCTATTGGCTTTGGGTCCTGCATGCCCAGTTCCTGGGACTATCATCCGTTCTTCACACACGCCTTTTAGCTCCTACTTCATGACGTGTTGGGTGGCACGAGCAATAGCAGGCGGTCATCATCATAACGAAGCAGCCCTCCCAAACAGATGCCAGCTCAGAGCACTAATTACAGGAGAAGTCAACCACAATCGATGAGCAAGGCAGGCACCGGGCAATGGTTAGGACCAGAGGATTTGGCATTCTGTAGCCTGGCTCTGAATGTATGTTCTGTCACTGGCTTGGTCTGGGTCATTCAGCAAATCAGGGAAATCCTCAAAGTTGTGTTCTCTTTATGGGAAACTAGGGATAATGGTGGCTACTAGATTCTAGGGTTAGGGAATCGGTCATCTTTGCAGAAATGCACGCTCAATCGATGACAGTTGTTAGTATCCAATCTTTGGTCTCTCTTTTGAAATAGACGTACATGTCTCCCACCCTGGATGGGTAGCTCTGTTCCTTTCTGCTTGCTAAAGGGGAGCTATAATATGGGATATGCTGGCTGTCTGCCTCTGGGTTGATTTCAGCTCGTAGTGTCCATACAGCAGGTGTGATAAAGCCAAAAATGAAAATATGCATTGAATAGACATGTGGAGGTCAACTGTCATCCAGGATGTCCTTGATATTGCATGTTTTACATTGTAGCTTTTCGTGGCTTTAACTGGTTTCTCTGGCCAAGATCAGCAAAGTCTATTCCTACAGCTCCCCTCCATGGCCCCATCCCCACCCCCACTTACCTGCCAAGCACTGCATCAGTGGGAGCTCAGAACGGAGGCTTTTGGACCTGACTGGGGCGGGAGCATCAGCACTGAAGATCACATTCCATTCTGGAACCTTCTCAAAGGTCCTCATCACTGGAAAGGAAGCAGATGCGTGAAAGCTCCTTCCGAGGAAGGCAGGGTGACTGCCCAGAAGCCAGGTGTCTGGAGCGGCCGGTCTGGCAGCCACTTCTCAGCGCCGTGCCCTTCCGCTCTAGGGCGGCTAGGGCACAGGTATGGACGCATCCATTCTACACATCTGTGCATTCCCCAGATGTCTGTGCACGCCTGTGCATGTATAGGACGTGTGCATGTTTTATCTATGCATACACTCAGTGTGTGTATGTCTGAGGGAGCATCAAAAAGCATGTGGAAGAATGGAAAGAAAAGGTCATGGACTCTTGCCACAATCTTTCTGAGGCTGGCATGCAGGTGTAGCAGTAGCGTTAGCAGTAGAGGGCAGATTCGAGGTAGAAGTACAGAGAGAGATGGAACCAGAAACTCCTGAGTGCTAGCAAGGCTGAAGCACTGGAATCCCTACACTCCTACATTGCAGGCGGGACTGCAGCAGACGACCTGTGGTGGGAAAGGGTGGCGAGCCCTAAGAAGCCAGGGCTGTACCGCAGGACCCACAATCCCACTCCTGGGTCTATCCTCAGACAATGGGAAGCCACCTCTAGCATGGACAGTGCACAGGACTGGTCCTCACAGTAAACCCTGCCTAGTGAGCTCCGAGTGAGAAGCCTGCGATAGGGCTTGGTGCCACGGCTTTGCACCACCCAAGGAATGAAGCAGCGCTTTGGAAGCATTTCCCTGGCGCAGTGCAGGGAGGGACTTGTCCTTCAGAACCCTGGCTTGCGGGCAACACAGAGGGGAGGTTGATGAAGTGGACCAGAGCAGGAAGACCAGTTGGGGGAGGGGGTCAGCTATGGCAGCTGTCAGGATGGGTGGCCACAGAGGCCTGGGTGAGGACTCGGGGTGGGGGTGGGGGGGTGGATCTCTCTTTAGGCAGACAGATACCTGCTTGGGGGGTTATATACGTGGCTTCTATGCACTTCGCTTCTGCTGCAGGACAATAACCTCACAGGAGAGCAGGCAGCCCCATCCGTAAAAGACGGCAAGAGAAGCATCCTCCCCAAGGGAGCGGAGCAGATTCTGAGAGGAGAGGGCATGTTGACTTGTGGGGATCCGCATTTCTAACTTGAAATCCCCTGCTCAGACAGAAAGAGCGAATGCCACCCAGCACCCTCAGGTCTTCAGGCAGGATAAGCGCCTCCAATGTGCCTGGCACTGCTGATAAGCCATCAGGGCTCCACAGAGGCTCCACCAGAAGCAGCAGGAAATGCTTCAGAGAGTGCACATTATAATGCTCATCCCAGCCCAGTGACAATTACTGGGCAATAATCCCCGAGCAGCCAGCCCATGGACCAAATCCCTTCATTTGTGAAGGACACAGGGCAGCTGCCTGCTAATCTCCAAGAAGGGCATGCCGCGTGTAATCCTCCTACTGAAATATGGCTCAGACCTTCATCGGTTCGCCGTTTATCCCTGGGGATGGGAGAAGAGGAAAGAAACCTTGGGGTGGGGGAAGGTGGGGAGGGTAGCGGGGGCACAGGGCACTAACCCACCCAAAGGGAGGGTATTGTTTATATCTCCACAGGGAAAGAGGGACCAGACTTCAACCTGGTGCTTGAAGATATGAATACAACATGACAGCATGAAGCAGGGAACCAGTAGAGGTCTGAGGGGCCAGCCTCAATCCCACGTGGACAGCCCCCCCCCTCCCCACAGAAGAATTCCCTTCCGTGGACAGCACTGAAGCTGCAGCTCAGGGAGAGGGACCTGTCTGATCAGAGCACACGGGAGTAAATGAAGGGGGAGGAAGAGGGAGGGGACCACATCCTGGCCCACCAAGCATTGAGGATGATATTCCCGCTCAGAGCAGCCAAAGCACAGAGAGGACCATAGGGCCAGCCCCACTATGAGAC